CTTCGGTGCCGGCCGCCTCGACGTCGGGCGCGGCGGGGCGCGGGCCCATCAAGGGCATCCTGAAGAAGGGCGGCAGCAAGCTGTCGGGGGGGGGAGCGGCCTCCGGGGCGCGGCGGGCCAGCCCGGCCCGCGACGAGGACGAGCACGGGTGAGGGCCGCGCCGACCCCGGCCGGGGCCCCGGTGGTGGTGGTGGTGGTGGTAAGGCGGCGGCGGGTCTCAGCGGGGCCTCGTCGCCGGCCCCGCTCGTCCGGGGCCTCCGCGGAGCGGGGTGTGCCAGGCGGCGTCCCCAGCTGGGGGTTCGTGGGCTGTCCCGTGTTTTGGGGGTGATGTGCAGCGGGCCACGCGGGTCGTGCCCGTGTGCTTCCCGCGCCGTGGCGGCCGCGGAGCACGGTTCCCCCCGTCGGCGGCGGTCAGGCAGCAGCGGAAGCAGCCGGCTGAGGCAGGAGTACTGCTCGGGGCAGGGTGGTCTGTGTGAGGGAAGGGGGTGGCGGGGCTGTGGCCCTGGGTGGAGAACGCGAGGGCTGCCCGAATGGGGAGAACCGAGGAACTGTAGTCGTGACTCTTCCCAGGAGCGCAGCGTGGCACCTGAAGGAGCTGATGTGATTCTTTGCTGTTTAGGTAGTGCTAGCAGAAGCAGTATTTGCTTTAAATGCTCGCTCGGAAAGACAAACAGAAGGGTTTTACAGTAGCTGTGAGGATAGTTTACAGTTTGGGAAATACACTTTGCCATGGGACACTTATTCGTGCCCTTCTCAAAGGTAGCTTATTTCTCTGTAACCAGAAGCGTGTCCCTGGGGAGAGGACCTCTCCTGGGTTGGAAACATAAGTAAGATGTATTCTTGCTTGTGCAAGATTCATCTGTGAAGATCTCACACTTGAGAATATGCACTGGCCATGTGGTTTCTGTTTTGAATGACAAGAAAATCTTCGTTTCATTGTAACATGATGAGTTAGTCCAAATATGCAAGAAGTGGTCGTTAGCCAGCCAGCAGCTGTCCCTGACCAGTAAGAATTCTTGCGCTTTTCCTGATGTTAGTTAGCACCCAGTACGTGCTGCCTAATGTTGCTCTGAGACTCCATCACGTTACGATGACCAGGGTTTGACCTGACCTCTACGTTTATGAAATTGCTTTTGACTGTTTTCTTCATTTGGGACCTCACTCAATATTCCAAGGAGAGAAATAATGATAAAATAAAATGGACATGCAATTATTTTTTTTGTATTGTAATATTTCTTTCCTCTTTGCCTAGTTAAGTCATGAATATAGTCTAAAGTCAGCAAGGTAAGACTGAAATTTTTTGGCTTGCTGTGTTGCCTGTGTTAGCTGCTCCTGCTTTCCAGGAAGAAATTATTGCAACTGAAGAAATGAGATTATGTTTTTGAAGGGGCTGAATGTAAGTAGCCATATGCTACACAAATGTTGTGATTTTTTTCCTGTTCTTTAGTTTTAATATAATGTAGCACAAAGTCTTTACTACCACACCAGACTTAAAATAAAACTGGCTGTTGGTAGTCTCTATTTTATTTTCTGCAGTCTCTTGCGTACCATCTTGAAGAAACTGATGAGCTGAGTATATGGTGTATTGGTTATAGTACACAGTAATTTCTTGCGGAGCAGTTAAGTGGGCAGGAGTCCAGCTTCTGTTTCCTGTTTACCAATGTGAATCAATAAAGTCAATTAGATTAATTCTGAAATTGCCTTGCAAGTTAAAGGATATTGGCTAACCTGGCAGGCTGCATTAGAAGATCTCCTGGAAAGATCAGTATAGGGTATTTAAAGCTGGTTTGTGTGCAGGTATTGTTTGTGGTTGGCAGCACTTCATTAAATCAGTGTTATTTCTGACTTCAGCAAAATAATTTTGTACTTAATGATAAATAGTATAGCTGTGATTTTCTTTGAAGATTAAAAATTAGTTCATAAATTCAGGTATCTGCTTTCTTCATGTGCCTCTTAGCAGCAGCCTCCCTGCTTATTTCTAATATTGAAATTCAGGTCTGAATACCTTTAAAATAGCTGCAGATGAAAGAGCACATTGTGTGAGCTGTCATCTCTCAAAGCACCGCGTTCAGTAGAGCTCTCGTGTATTTGCATCATTATTGACCTTGCGCTGTTGTCAGTGATGGTAAAATTCTTCGGAAAACTCCCTCAATGAAAATATGATGCAAGAGGGAAGTTTGTGAAATTGGCACACCACTGGAACTGGAGCCTGAGAGCTGAGATCATGGTTTAATGGTAGACATGTTCTTGGCATTCCTGCTATACAGTATTTTTTGCCTTAAGGCTCCTGTAAGAGCCCCTGAGTGAGCTGATCTGATATTTTACAAAGTAACTAAGTAAGTCTGTGCATGTGTGTGCAAGCACCTGTGTCGGTACAGGCAAGAGAAGAGTCTGCAATGGTAGGAGCAAGTGAGGTGTGAGGGTGTTCCTTTCAGTAATACTGCTGCAGAAACTTCTTGCCTGTCAAGGTGTGGTGTCAAAATAAATAATTATATATGTTTAAAGAAGTGAAAGAATACAACTGAGCACTTACGAGATTTTTTTCAAATCTGATTTTCCTAAGGAAGATTAGATTTCCTGTTTCTATATCTGAGGGGTGTCAGGAAGCATTTTTCTGTGATGGTCCTAAGCTCTCTCATTAACATTGCGCTTCTCAGGCGTGCCTAAGCATGCTAAATTGGAGACGGTCAAAGGAGGTGTGGGTTTTTAGAGCACTTAGTCACTCTCCTGTGATGGCTTTTTACATGGAGAGGTGAAATGACATGTTTGTCTGTTTGCCACTAACGATAATTTTTTTCCCTAGCTGAATTCTAAATTGTGCTTTGGGACGTGTTCCACAGCCAAGGCTTTTAGTGTTGGAATATGAGTTTAAAGAAATGAGTGTGAAAAACTAAACCACTAAAAGCTTCCTCAATTTTCTATTTATAACTTACTGAATTGCTAGTTGTAGGCTGTCTAACTTCGAGAGCAGTGTATGCCAAAAAGATTCTTCTAAGGTTGCCAATATTATTATTAGGTATTGAGTTGTGAGCTCAGGCAATAAACCTTGATGCACTCTGGGTGAATATGGTGAACACAAAGCATGTGATGGGAGTTTCTCCCATCTGTTACATTTCCCCTTCAACTAAGCTCTGTCTCTTTGCAGGGGCTGCGTACCATTGTCCAACTGCTATGGCTAGTAAAAATTCTCATGCGCTCGCTATGTAACCATACGATCATCTTATGTTAGTCATAGGTGAACTTTAAGCAGGTGTTTAGGTGATGTTTAACTGGTGATTTTTTGACTCCTAAATAGATAGGTTTGAATAACTGCCATTCCTAGACTAGAGCTCTTGCTTTGTCATCATGAAGCTCATGACTCTCCACCCTGCCAGAGCAGGCAGTCTGACTCACGTGTTGTCCGCTTAGGTTGCAATCCTTGTGTTACAGTTCCAACAAAATTATTAAATAGATCTGAAGCCTCAAACATGAGAGTTTGGCATTGGTTCCTATATGCTAAGGGGATTAAGCTCACTTAATTTGTATTCATTTTTGGAGTATAAGTCTGTGGCATGTAGGATTCTGCATCAACTCCCGCATCTGTTTTTTTTTATCCCTTTAGGGTTTTTTCCCCATTGTGTTATATACAGTGCTCTCCGTAAATGTAAAATTTAGTTTGTGCTTGGAATTTTGCTTTATCAGTTTTGTTTTACTTCTGCTCAAGAGCAGTTGCATTATTGAGATTGAATAAATTTTTCAAATTTGGAAGGGACTGTGTTTAAATAAGAGTAGTTACATTAAAGTCTTCCAGCCAACTACCCCCCTCAAGCTCCCCCCTGCTCCCAAACAAAAAAAAACCAACAAAGCTCTGTAACATTTGCTTCCTTAAATAGTAATTTGCAACAGGAATATGTTAATGCATAAGGTAATATTAAATAGTGGAATTAATTTACTATTGTAAAGTTAAATTTCTTGGTTTAGTTGAAGGGAAAGACCACCTCGTATGAAGCTTGCAATACCCTTTATAGAGGAAATGTGGAACCTGGTAGTTTCTGTTGGTTAAACATTTCTGTGGCTTTTAGATCGGTGGAGGGGTGAGTCTTCCTCTGGCCACAAGGCAACTGCTTTCCCTGTGGCTTGTATATTTTGTCAGTCTGGGTAGGCTTTTGTTTCTGCAAATATACATAAAATGGTACATTACCTGATTGACTGAGGAAATTCTAAATAATGTAACATCACTGGTGCCTGTCTGTGTAAAATGTGAAACTTCCTCAGCTTAATTACAGCAGTGAATCGGTTCTGGTTTATGATTCCAATTTCGGATTACAAAAGCAGTATTAATAACCAGCTTGCTCAGTGCTGTTTATTTTACTGCAGGAAGTTATTTGTTTGTTGGTATTGTTTATGTAACAGTTTTGCCAATAATCATAGCAGCTCACTGAGCAGAGGTGAGGTGGAAGTTATGTGGTTTTGTTGAAGTGTTGTGGGTTGTGATAAGAGGAAGAATGATTTTACAGTAACTTGTAACAAAAGTGGGCAGTTAATGGGACAGTGATTGAACAAGACTGGTAGTTTCTTGAGAAAAACATATGTATGTATATGAATAAGAATACAGTTATAGATCACTGAGTTTATTTAGCTATGGTGAATTGTTAGGGAAATTAAATTGCACTGATAATTTGTCATGACTTCACTGAAGTATGTATAGAACAGTATTTATTTAATAGCCATGCTTTGAACATGCTTGTGCGTCATAATATTTTTTGTGCTTAGTATGTAGCAGAGGTCAAAAGACGTTCTAAACATTCCTTCTGTGGCCAAAGAACTAATTGTTTTTAGAATATAAGAAAATTTAACTTTGTTTTCTTATTTCAGTAAAAAATCCCAGAAGTGGGATGAAATGAACATCATAGCTACATACCACCCAGCAGGCAAAGATTATGGCTTGATGAAAATAGATGAGCCAAGTACTCCTTATCACAGGTAGGCTTGCTGAACTGCTGTCCTAAATGATGCCAGGTGACATAGTAGTTTTACAGCAAAATTGACTTTGTGGATGATGTAGTGTTTACTATAGCTGATTGCCTGACAGACTGTGCAGACCTACTGGATATATGCAACATATTCAGATTTACAAAATTTCTAAATAAAAGCTTATAGCTACCAAGGAGAACTGTCAAAAAGGACAGAGTCAATTTTTAGAAGGTTTATGTCTAGCAGGTTTTAGGCTTTAGGCTTTGAATGGAATAAGTAAGTCTGACTTGTATTGATTTTTTTTTCAGTTAACATCTGTGTACTAGAATATAAATTTGTCATATCAATATTTAAATTAGATTTGGAAAGTTTTTAAAGTATTAAAGGAGTCTTTTAATTGAGTGTTGTAATGTTTTGACTGTTTTATCAAGCAAATTTTAAGCAGCAAATTATTGATAAAGGCTACTTTTTGTTTGCTCTCCAAGCATGGTAGGAGAAGATGATGAGGATGCAGTGAGTGATTCAGAATCAAATGAGCCCTTAAAAGCAGATGTGTTGAGTAAAAAGTAAGTATTGTCATAGAAAATTGACTAAATGTTAAGATAATTTGCTCTTTCCTGGAGTAGTTTTTCTTTATGGAAAGGTGTTGCTGGTTTCTCTAGAAGGCAGACTTTTGCTATTGTCAAATTAAGTCGTTTTCAGTGTTTGATAGGGCCACTGGTACTTAAAACCTCTTGCAGGTTGTTTCTACACATAAATATGGCAAAAAATAATGAACAAAGCAGTTTGAGTGTTCTGAAATTTAAATAAGTGAAAAACTTGCTGTTTCAGCATTTTGTATTGCATGATTTATGTAGACTGGCAGCTGCAGCTGAAGGTAAAGGACCTAAGATCATAGCAAAGCAAGAGGAAAGCAGTGAGGAGGAGGAAGAGGATGAAGAATTAACACCTGAAGAACGAGGTAGGCATAAGTTGTTTTCTTTGTTTTGTTGTTTTTGCTACAAATGGTTTCAGATTTTCAGTAAGAAATACTTGGGAAGAAGAAGTACTATCAGAAAAATGTTGTGATTTGAAAATGGTGATAAATAGTCTTTGAAGGGTAAGTAAAAGATTGAACAAATACACTGTTTGTTTCTGATCAGGACTGTTTGGTCTGGGATCTACATATAAACAGGAATTTGCTGTTACTGGCTGCCTGCTTGTATACAAGCCTAAGGTGTGGGAATTCCTCTTAAGAAACCTAGACTTCTCAAATAAGAAGCTCTTCCAGTTTTGGGGTGAGGGAATAGTTCTTAATCTGAACATATTTCAGGTAGACTTAACAATTCAATGAGTACCACTGCAGTCAAGATGCTACTAATTGCTTGCAGACCTACAGATGATATTTCTGTTGTTTCAAAGCAACTGGTAGATGGATCCAACAGGAAATCTACATTTATTCCAAAGCAATTTGCATCTTCAACAGAGATATTGTTTTGTGTTAGCTTGGGCTAGAACATTTTGAGGAAACAGTCAAACAACAATACTTCTAAGGTTTCAGGCTTGCATTATCTGGCTGTTCCTTCTCATCTTTCCTGGCCCCAGCTTTGAGCATCTAGCCTTACTATTCTAAAGGAAGGAAAAAAACAGCATTGGGGCTACCAATAAGAAAAGTTTAATCTAATTATAGTGCGTTACTGCTAGACCTACTAATGTTTAATGTGTTGAGCAAAGTTAGGCCTCAGGCCATGGGGAAAGTGGAAAATATTTTCTTCTACATGTGGTAAATATATCTCTTATAACAGGCCTTTGGTAGTTAGCCAGGAGTCAAGTCAGACATCTGCAAAAGTTCATTTTCTATCCCACCAGTATGTCTCAATTTGTCCTTAAGTTTACTTAGAAACAAGGCTTGCGAAACTTTGGAATTTTGTATGCTGTTACTAGATGCTGCTCTTGGTTCAGACTTGCTCTTACTTGCAGACAGGTTCTTTTAAAAGTGCTTCAGCCATTCCAGTCCATTAATTACTAGCCTTTTTGTAAGTCAGGCTCATTTAAAAGAACGCTCCACTGCTTGAAGAAAATAATTTTAATTCAGTGATTGCTTGATCATATAATCAATGCACTTTCAAGGTAGGAATAAATTTGACATAGGAAGCAGTTAGTGCCTCTCTGAAGAGGAAATAAGTTGATTTTTTTTTTTTAAAAGAGAAGAAAGAAATATTCGCATTTGTTTGTCCACAGAGAAAAAGAAACAGTTTGAAATGAAGAGAAAAATGCACTACAATGAAGGACGAAACATCAAACTGGCAAGACAACTCATTGCAAAGGAACTACATGGTGAAGAAGAGGATGATGAGGATGAGGATGAAGAGATGCATGATGCTGCAGATGTAGAAACAATGAATACAGAAGCTACTGAACATGGTGAGCTGCCGATTAATCAAAAAGCATGTTTGAGTGCTGGTGGTCCGTTCAGCTGCTGGGGAATGAGTACACTCAAGTATGAGAATAAATAGAAAGGGCACAGTATGTATGTAATGCTCAATGTGCAATACTGCATGCTGTGTTGATAGGTAGCTTTGTAGCATGGTACCAAAACCATCAGTATTGCTAAGTAGCATGTGGGCTTTTGTTTGTTGTGACATAACAGAAAAGCAAACACCTCTGCTTCATACTGTTTCCCCAGCATAACTGACTCTTGGTAGTGAAGTTGCCAGCATCCTTTTTAAAGGAAGAGTTGTCCTGTACAGAACACTTAAAGCTGTGGCCACATGGGAGAGCCTGGCCTTATGTTGTGGTTCAGTTCCAGTTCTGCTCCCAAACTATCATGTAGCCAGCAATGGGAAACTAGCATGCGTGCTTCCTCCCTGTTGAGAGGAGTGCATCTAACTTCCGAAGTAAGAACTTCTGCCTTTCTTACTGTAACGTAGAACTGCTGTTAGGACTTCGGTACGTGCTTGTCCTTAAGCAGTAATGTTCATTTCTATAGTATGGGATAAGACCCTCAGCTTTGCTTTTAGTGCAGCTACTGGAAGAAAGTCTGGGACTTTTAGCTGGGAGCTGTTTCTGGAACCTGCTTCAGGGCTGTATTTTGATAGGAAACTCATAAAACTATAGAGGCTGACACCTTCTCTTTCATCTTTAAGCTTCTCTCTGGGTGAAAAGGGTAGACTGTATAAGTCTTTGGTTTTTGTGGTGGCCTTCTGGTGAATAATTACAGCTGTTCACTACCCACCTCTGTGTGTAACAGCGCTTCAAACAAGTTTTTGGCATTAAAAAAATTGACATTTGTTGCTTATGAGACTAGTGGCAATGAAGTCTAAGCCACATTCATCTGTTGCTTGGCAAAACTATGAAATGTTAGCACAGTCTGCAGACTTGGGAAGATGCTGCATGGGTTTAACTTGGTTCACATTTGCTTTTCACAACCATGTGAACTAGAAACTCTTCTAAAATTAGTTTAAATTCCACACAATAAAAAGGTGATTTGCAAAGTTGTGTGTTTTTAAGTTCTGTGGATTGCACTTTAGTCCCATTATCTATTACAGGAGGACTAATGCCTTCATAATTGCTCCAAAAGGGTCATTTGGTATGTGTCTGAGACCCATTGATGGACTGACTTTATCCAGTAACTTAACATACGCCTTATAATGGCTATTTACTAGAACTTCACTCTCCAGGGGAAAGGAGGGCTCCAATAGGCAACCTTATGACCTTTCTCCATGGCTTGAAGCTGCCATCTCTCTGCACTCTGCTGTAAAACAGAGGCAACTCCGCTCCCCAGCTGCATTCGCCAGTGGAAAGAAGGCACACCTTTGCAGCATTTTTCCATCTCTATTGTTGAAGTCCATTCCACCTTGCCTCATAACCAGCTTCAGAGCCACAACTGGTAATTATCAATTTTGGACTGCTCATGGCCAATAGATTCCATAAACGTAACTGTTTGCCAGTTTATCAACCCATTAACTAACTGGTTCACCTCCACACCATGGCATATAGAAATACTTTCCATTAACTTGATGTAGTTCTCAATTCTTCACTTTTGTTTTGTATCATTCTGCTTAAACCTTGATATTTCATTATCTCCTAATCTCTGTATCAACTATCATAGCTTTTGGTCTGTGTACGTGATCAATTTTTCTGAGGTAAAGTACTGGTCTCACTTTTTGTAGCAGCTGGTGAATTGAATACCCTCAGACTGATCATGTGTGATTCTTTGTGGCAGGGTTGGTCAAAGGACGATGGAATATGGACAAAACAATTAATAAACCTCTCTGTCTTCTGCCACTGCCTGTGTTTTAAGAAATTCCTACATTGAGGTGATAAATGTTCAGCAACAAAGCTGTGCTAAAGTAATGTCGAAGTTTTACTGAAGTAACTTTTTTGAGAGGACAACTCTTTATCACACTCATCTGTATTCTGAGGGCACAGAAGAATCTCCTTATAAATGTTGATTAAACAGGTATTAGGGCTACAGAACATTTCTTAAATAGCTAGTTTTAACAGTAGCTACTTGGGTTTTTTGCTAGTCTGCTTTGGGCCATGCCATGCTTTTGGTCATATTAAGCAATTGGGTATTTAAAACAGTATTTCAATTTGGTTGTTTCCTTCCTGGAAGTGGATTAAAATGCTATTAATATTCTTGTTCCTGAGGTTCCCCTGTTAGGACTGTAAGCATGTGGAAAGATTTTTTTCATCTGGATAGCTTTTGAAGAGCTCTTTGACTTCACATCATATTTTAAAGTGCTTTTTTATAGAGCAGAAAAGGAGGGGTTTTACTCAGTGTATTGGGTGATGCAGGAGCTGATTTTTGTGATGGCTTATTTTGGCTTCACTCCGTTAAACTGACTAACAGCTCTGACACTTGCCTTTAACTGCAAAGGAAATGTCTGTCTTTTTCTGCATGTTGTATTGTAGATACATTTTGATAGTTTCTTCCATTTGACTTCACTTCTTCTGAAGTTACCGAGATCATCTGGTGATGTTGCTACCACTCACCTACTATGTCTGAGACTGTAAATCTACCTAAGTGAGAGCAGTGTCTTTTTATTCCAGTGGAATAACATGATTTCTATAGTACTGATGATCATTCCAGGTAAAGATGTGACATAAGAGGTATTTCTTAGTGGTCTGTTGTGACTCTAGGGCTCCACTGGCTTCTGGATTGTTTTTCAGGCAATTTGAGACCCTCTTCTCACTTGGAATTTTATTTGTCTGTGAAGATCCCTTAAAGGTTCTGTCCTTCTCAGCTCCTGATGTTCCTTTCTACCCTCTAATCCTGTCTGGTTTGTATTTGAGTAAAACTAACAGTATTCTTCTAATCCCTACATTCTCCTTTTGAAGAAGGGGCTAAAGACTTAAGACAGCTTTTTAAGAAAGTTTCTGTCAGATACCACCAGGTCTGCTAATGAGTTGCGCTTCTTGGTTACAGACTGAGATTTCTTGCTGATTGAAATGAAGATGGCCAGTCCAGTCAGTAATGGTGAGAACTGTTTGTATGTTTTTGCCCGTGTCTTCATCGTGGGCTACCGAGTGTTTTAAATGGATAGACGATTCTTTGCTTGCCTCAAGTAGCTGTACCTTTATCCCATGCACATGGATTCTAGCAGCCAAGCCTTTTGGTCGAAGAGAAAGTTAAAGTTGTTATAGTCTGCATTAGGATCACTTGCTTTAGCGTTTCAGCTTCTCTGGATTTTCTCTGGCTACTCCTTATTTATGACTCCACAAATGACATAAATAGACTTTGCCAGCAAAAGTGACCTTTGTTCCTTTCCATAAACACTTTTCTTTTAGAAATTCTCTTTGAAATCACTGAAGGAGAGATTCCTGATGTAGGTAGATTTAAGCATGATGATTTCAGCGCAGACCTGTTTTTACTTCTGCTACACAAAAGTATCAGCTACAGTGGTGTGATCTACAGCAGTTCAATTGACAAGCAGCAAAACTATTGTTCTCTCTTTATGGTTCATTTAGCATTCATTGCTATGATAACTGCTCATCAGTTTAGCTGTCATCTGACTGGGTGTGCCCTTTTGGCCTTTGGTAGACACAGATTATATTGTGTTTTCTTCACCACGGTGAGCATCACCCTAAAGATGATTTAAGTGAGAAGGCTGGGAGTATACACAAATTGGTTCTGCTTGTTAGCTATGCTATTTATTCACTTGTTATACTGCGCTTGTTACCAAGTCTAACTCATGCCTGAGCCTAACTGGCCTTTTTTAAAGTTTATTATCATCTGGACGTAGTTTTCTTTGATCTTTGCTTTATGCCACTGAATATAAATATATATATAGTGGGCTTTTTCATATGAAAAGCACTGATGAGAGAGAGCTTTTTCTGATTTATTGCTGTTCTTTGGCTCAAAACCATGAGTTTAACGACTTCCTGAAAAACACAACAGACTGTGCTCCTTCATTTATAACCTTGTTTTATTTTAAAGTGTCTCATCTGGAATTGAAATTTGACCTGAAAAGTACTATGCTTGCTTGTGTTTCAGGAACCTCATATGTTAGTTCTGCAAATTGATCTCTCTCAACTCCTGGGTTAAATCCTCCCAGTTCCAGGAGTGTTGAGCATTGAGTGCTTGGTATGCTGAACAATGGTGCTAGCCATTTCTTCAGAACATGAAGGTGAAATAACTGTTTTAGAAGTTTCCACACTCTCAAACTAAAAGCTTGTGCATTGCTATGATGGGTTGGCAAACATTACCTTTGGAGAAGCAAAGATGATTTCAGGAGGATATTGTGTGCGTTTTGAAAATATTCAATGAGTGTGAAGAATTACCTATTTTTTGTAATCTTTCTTATGCAGCACATGCTACTCGTGACCAGCTGGAAAGTAGAGCACACAGCATAGAAGAAATCTGTCCAGAACTGTAACTGCTTGTCAAAGTCACAAATATAAACATCGCTTCATGATTTTTTGCAATTAAGGCTCTTAAATATTGAGAAGCATATCAGTTACAATGTTGTATTGCCAAGAATGTTAATTTTAGACTTGTCCATTAGGCAGAAAAAACTGTCTAATTGATTTATTCTTGTGCCTAGTATTTCATGGAGAATACTGCTTCATAATCTGTTCAACCAGAATGGCATTCCCTGTATGTATAACACTGATTATCTTGCGTAATATACTGTTACTCTTCATGCTTTGAAACAGACAGTATCTTTTGGTTTTTCACTATTTATTTGACAGTGTTCTAGGTCTGGTATCTGTTATGGAAAGGTTTGGGATTTAAGAGCCAAACGGTACAGCATATATCAGATTGACATGCAAGCTATTTATCAGATGTGTTGAGCAGTTTAAAAAGGGATTATTTAAGTCTTACAACTTCTTTGTAAAGTGTTGACCTGTTAATCTAGATTTCAGTACGTTATTACCTGTACTTCCCCAGTCTTTAGAAGAGCTGTATTATTTTTTAGGAGTGGTGTTCAGAATCAGTTGTTAGTTTCTGACTAAGGCAATACTAACATCTGGTGGAGGGAATGTTTTTACACTGGAAATGTGTTAACTTGAACTTTGCATTTAACTGTCATTATCTCTTCCATCGGGACTGGATGTTTTGTGGAGCTCTCTTTTGACTTATCATGAGAACATGGAAGTTCCCTCCAACTTTTCTCTTAAAACCACATCCACTGTCACTCTTCCAGCTCTTGTTTCAAACTTTTGGTCCTTTCCAGTTGCATGAAGAGTGCTTGTGCTACTAGCACTTGAGGAAAAATGCCCAGCCATGAGCAAATCCACATCAGGACTGTGAAGATGAGCTGAGTTTAGGCTCTGGCTGTTCTTTACATAAAGATAACTGCTGATGATCTCCTACTCATTTGGGGTTGGCAACCTGCGTACTGAAAACCACTGGTCTAGATCTTGCTGTACCCATTGCAACTTACAGCAGCTGCTTTTGTAAAATGAAGGCTGTTTGGAAGAATAGAAGGTAAACTGCCTAATTCAAATACTTGTTTACAGTGTGGTTGTACAGCCCCTGTAAAGAGGGATTCTGAACCTCCAAATTGCTGTAAACAACTTCCCATTTGGTGGAATTTGACTGGTGAATGTTCCAGTACTCAGAGTAGTTCCTGGGTTTTATTACACAAATGAAGTATACACTTAAGCTTTAGTTTGGTTATGGAACACAGTGTATATCTTAATTTTGATCTGAATTTGATATGTTGCAAAAATCCATATAATTATATGGATCTATTTTAAAATGTCTTTTTGTCCACTGTATATGTGAAGTTTGAATAAAGGAATGAAAGTTATTTTACAGTTATATGCATTCTGAAGTGTGAGCTTTCATGAAATCCCAGAGAGACTGAGAGTGAATAAAGCAATAAGATGCTGTCCTTTGAGAGATTTATACAGAAATAATTCATTAGAATGGATGCATCGCCAAAGATACCTGTGAATTGTGCTAATTGGGTGTTGTTGTGTGCCTTTCCCAACTATCTCTTCCCTTTAGTAGGTAACGGGGTTGTCAGTTGTGGGATATTTAGTCTTCTAAGGACCTGAATCAAGTTTAATAGCATCTTTTCACAAGAAAGAGTTGAACTCTTCATTCAGTCCAGTGTGGTGATGCTAATTTTTCAATATGGAGAACGCTATTTCTTCCTGTATCAAACATGGTCACTTCTGTAGAATAAACAGGGGCAAAGAGTAAGCATTTAGATACTTCTGACTCCTGAAGTCACTTACCATAGCTTTAAATTTGGCTCCCAAGAATAGGACGTCAAAAAGTTTGCACCCTTTATATACCAGCTTGCAGTGTTCAGACTGTTGGAATGTCTGCACCAACCTGTATTTCAAAGTGACCAGCTGACGGCCTGGTCTGCCCCAGCTAGGGCAGTTAAGTCCTATTGAGAGAGTGGCAGCACTCAGCAATCAGACTGGAGCACAAATGGGTCAAGATTTGACCAATGTGTATGGGTAATGCAGATGTCTTCTGCGATGTTGTAAAACAGATTACTTGCACTTTGTGATAAGTACAAGTGGGTACTTTGTACCCGCAATTAAGGCAGGATCCATCAGAAGCAGCTCTTACATGAGCTACTACTGTCCTGCCTTCCTTCCCCCCGCCCTCCCCGCCATGTTCTGTGTCCAAGACCTCATTTTCATTTTGGTGCTCCGCAGGGGTATTTTGTACCCTACAATGCCTGCAAAGCATTTTGTTTAACAAGCAAAAAACCCCTTTGCTAACTTCCAGTAAAGACCTTCCCTGTAATGGCTTCCAAAATCCTGGATGAAATGGGTATGTAGTTTTGAGGGAGGTACAGTATATATAGATCCATGAAGATGGTTTTAAATGAACCTCAGAATATACAGTAGGTCCCTTCATTAGTCGGATGATTTTGAGCTGTCTGGGTGATCCCACCTTTTCTGTGCCACCAACCTCCCAAGTTTTAGTTAGATGCCATTTTGCAACTTGTACTTGTTTTAGTTATGGGTTTTATTAAAGGCTTTGTTCTCCTCTTCATTCTCTTCAGTGCTAGCAAAAATTCTGTTCGTGCTGCTTTGTCTCGCTCACTTGGGGTGCAACCTGATGTACCTGACGCTGCTTTTAACTGGAGGGCTGGTTTACTTGATTTTATCCAGGCTTACACCTTCATGCATTTTAAAAGCTAAAATAGGCAAGCTGACTTTGCAGTAACTACAGATACTCTGTATGGCTTTTTTTACAAAGGGGATGTCTGATTTCCTTCTATTCTGGAATAGCAATTATAGTTCCCTGCTGAATGGGGACAAGAGAAGAAATGCCTTTTCTCTTTTTACATTTGATGGGGACTTAGCTTGCATGCATGTCTTAATCATGAGGTGCATATGGTAAATGCTCATTTGTACAGCAAAAAGTGGTGTAAAGAGACAACAAAAGACATGCAGCCCTTACTAATGTGGACATTGAGCTCCACAGCGTCATCATTGTGAAGCTTCTTGCACAAGTTTAAGTCCTCAAGCTGCACCCTGTTTAGAGAAAATATTTTCAATATGCTTCCAATAGGAAGATCACTTGCAAATAAGAGCCTTAACTCCGTCTTTATAAAGGTTTTTTCTGTTCTTAAAGTTTCTTTCACACTGAGTTGTACACAGTTCATGGAAACAGCAAATATTTTTTTTCCACAGCTTGCTCTCTCATGTTAAACTTGTGTATCTTACCAGAACTCTCTGTTTCTGTAACATGCTTTTTGTGGTGTTTATTATGATACCACCTCACAAATGTAATTATTCTGTTTGAAACCAGTGTTAAGTGTCACAAAGTAAATAAAACCAATGTTTTCATTAGTGCTGTATGGCACTAATACTAGATGTATTGGTTTGACTTCCTGGAGCTTTTTAAAAGAAACGGGCAGATATTGTAAGGTTTGCAGGTGTGTTCATAGATGAATACTTAAACTACTATTGCAGTTTCTTCATCATTGCAAACAGGGAAGTACTCTACAGTATAACTTTGATACACATCAGTTTATACACACCCTCAGGTTTTGTGGTGGCTTGGCTACCTAGATGTGAGGGCAGGTATGTGAACCTGAATCATGAATTTGAGACAGCAGCACACCAGAAAAGGTTGCATTTTTCAAGGTAATTTTCTTTGCATGTCGTAGGATTAAAGCAAGACTGGTCTGTCTCTTCACGGTCACCGTTGAATAATCACTCATTAGCATTGTGTAATGGAAAATGCCTAACACCAACTAATTCTTAGGAAGTAAAACTATTCCAAAAAAAAGAGCTGGGCTTTCTTTTTCAATTGCACACTGTATTTGAAAAGTGGATTTCACCACATAAACACAGCCTAAGTGATACAAAAATATCTTAACTTGATGTTTTTTCTACATGGGTGTGATGGATGCACTGACTCCTTAACCAAACTAGTGGTAGTTTGGTTAGTTTTAGTGAGGGACAGACAGTTCACAAAAATATACAATTGTTGCATCTGTGTAACTTGTAGTTTGGATCCTACATTTCACCAGTCTTAAAAAAACCAAACAACTCCGCCCCCTCAAACCACAACTGACTGAACCAAAAAGCTTCTCTTCTGTGAAAGGACACCTTAACCAAGGGAGGGACAGTTCAGGGTACAGCAGGCATTCAGCTTCTTGGAAAGAAGTCTTATATTCCCTTCCATCCTTCCATGTTGACTGTTTATCCTTGTGAGACCAAAAAGAAGTCAGTGAGAGAGGGTAGGATAAGAAAGAGGGAAAGGGATAAAAAAAAGAGGTGAAGCTTGGTGCAGATGATGGGGCACTGGAGGGCTGGAGGGTGTGAAGACTGCAGGGGGTGAGCAGGCTCTCTGGGGGCAGGTACGGCAGCTCCTCAGACTCCTGGAGGAGCTGAGAGTGAACGTCAGCAACTTGTGTCAGCTTCCCAGCACTGTGTCCCTGTAACTGCAGGATGGAGCCTGTGACTTGGTGCGACGTTGCTTCATCCTTGCCCAGTTTAACTTGAATAGTAAGTTGTACTCCTCTGTCACTGCCTTTGAGGGTGAGAGGGGATGGCTGACACTACTTTGCCTTTGTCATTTTTACATCCGGGAACACTTAAGCAGTGCCAAACTTGTTAAAGCTGTTTTCTCGTAAGGGATCAGAAACGTATGATGTTTCTGCAGTCCTTCCCTACGAAGTGGGAGAGGACCAACACGGTCCTTTTCACTCTACCATACAGCCCTTTCACTGTCTGAAAAGCCTTCAGAAAGTATTCTCAGGCAAAGCTGCCGTACAAAACCCAAACAAGCACGCCTGATAATTCTTTCTACAGAAGCCCCCCCCCACCCTTCTCCTTCAAAGACGACTTTGAACCTCCCCCAAGTAACACCAATCTACAGTTGTCGCCAAGACCGAGCACGGAAACACGCTGCAGAGCACCCGGAGTCCTAACTCCTCCACGGCGGCTCCGAAGCTGCCGCTGCACCCTCAGCAGGCGACACCGGCTCCCCGCCGGGGCGGCAGCGTGTGTGAGCCCCCCACACCGCAGCGAACGCCTCTCCCGGGGCCCGGGGCCCGGCCCGCTGCCCGTCGCGAGGGCCCGGCCGCCCGCTTCGGGCCTGAGGGCTCCTCCGGGGGGCGGCTGAGGGAGGGGCCGCGCGCCGGCGGCCCTCACCGCCTCAGGGGGGCGCCGAGCCGGGCCCTCCCGCGCCCCTCTCATCCCCCAGGGAAGAGGTCCCCTGCTTAATTAGTGGCTTAATTTACAAAAATTAAGCAGTTAAAAACGATCAGCCGGGCACAGACGGGAGAGCTCCGCCAGAGCCCGCCCGCCGCCTCGCCCCACCCCCAACGGCGGCACCGTCAACGGCCGCCAGCGGCGGGCGGACCCGCTTATCGCAGCGCTGGATCGGCCCCCTCGGTGCCTGCGAGCGCTGGGATTGGTCTTCCGGTGGTCGTGGCAATGGCGCTTGCCAATTGGTGGGAGGCCAACGGCGGTTTTCCCGTTGGCTTACCGGGCTGTCACTCTTTAGGACGCTCGGTGAGGAAGTGATCCCTGCGGCACCCCGCGGTTGGCTGCCTCCCCTAAGCGGCCCACTTATTGGGCGGTCTTCCTGTTATGCTCCTTCCTCTCGCCGTGTGATTGGCCAGAGGGCTCCCCTGCTGGACGGGCTGGCTGCCCTTCCCCCGCCCTACGCCGATTTGGGGGAAGCCCCGCCTGCGCCAGCGTCTTATTGGCTGTTTCTGCTGCTGGCTGCCGCCTATTGGCCGGCCGCGCCGTCAGTCGCGGTTGGGCGCGGGAGGGGGGGCAGCGGAGTTGGTCGGCGCGGCGTTCCCGCAGCAGCCGCCCCGCCGCCGGGCCCCG